TAGAGGCTCTCACCTCTGATATAACAAACCATTCAACTTGACACTGCAAAATACCCAGTGTTACTGTGAATTTATCCCTGTATTTTGTCTTTTTTTTTAAAAAGCATTAATTTTTATCTTCCCATTTTATGGAGCCCTTATACTATTCAGTGATTTTTCTAATTGACTTAACACTCAACAAAACTTTTCTGCACATAAGAGTTTGCAGTAGCACATACCTGCCACTCCTTAAAAAAGGCACTGTTTGAAATCTTCCCAAACCTGAAATTCAAGAGAGTTTAATCTAACTTTAGAATAGAAATTTGTCTACAACTTGGCCTGTGACCAATGACTGCAAAGTGAATTTAGGTTTAAAATATTGAATTGATTATAAAGCCTGAATGCTCACCATTAAAATGCATGCACTTTCCTGCTAGCCATACACTGAAAAGGCACTATCAAATATAGCGTATAAAATGTCTTCAAAATGATGTTTTTTTGCAAGTGCTCCTATTTTCGCTAGTTTATGAATTTGATTATTTTCATTTGAATTTTCCATACAATGGGGAACTTTCTCTGCCTTTGTATTAATCAAGGATCACCATTTACAAACACTGCATGTGTACACTTGAAACACTGCAAAACAACTCGTAGAAACAAGGAACTCTTATTCCCAACACCTTAACAAAGCTCCTATTGAGGTCAGTGGGAGTTTTGCCTAACTAAGGAATGCCTTACATCATTCATATGCTAGATCCAGCCCATTAGCTAAGGAAGGGACATCAGAGTTAACTGAGGAAAAAACAAGACTAAGGTTCAGGTATCTTCTGTTGGCTTTAGAGGAACAAGGGGCTGGGGTGGTGTAGGCATCAGTTCACGGCCCAGAGGTTGCAAGTTTGAGGCCATACTAGAAGTGTTCATGGCACAGCCTGTCAGCTTCCAATTAAATCTGCAAATTCTGCTAAATACCTTGTCCTAAAGACATGAAAAAGGAAAGTCCTGCCTGACCAACCTGATTGCATTCTATGATGAGATGACTGGCTCTATGGGTACGGGAAGAGCAGTGGATGTGGTGTATCTTGACTTTAGCAAGGCTTTTGATACAGTCTCCCACAACATTCTTGCAAGCAAGCTAAGGAAGTACAGATTGGATGAACGCACTGTAAGGTGGATAGAAAACTGGATGGATCTTCAAAGGATAGTAATCAATGGCTCAATCTCTAGTTGGCAGCCTCTATCAAGTAAAGTGGCCCAGGGGTTGGTCCTGGGGCCGGTTTTGTTCAATGTTTTCATCAGTGACCTGGAAGATGGGATGGAGTGCACCCTCAGCAAGTTCGCAGATGACACCATCTGCTGGGGGGAGTAGTCAATATGCTGGAGGGTAGGGCTAGGATTTAGAGCGGGGCTGGGCAAAGTGTGGCCTGGGGCCCTGATGCAGCCTGCCAGGCCATTCTATCCGTTCCGCGCTCCCCCCGCAAATTAATATTTTATCTACCCCTGGCTGCCTGTTATGTGGCCTTTGATGGCTTGCAAAATTCAGTAAGCAGCCCTCTGCCCAAAATAATTGGCCGTCCCTGATTTAGAGAGACCTCAATGAATTGGACCAAAAGAAATCTTATCCATCCACATGCGGTGTGGATGTTTGGTTCCCTGCGGACAACTAGCGGCTGCACCTTGCACCACAGCTAGTTGCCCCTGGGGAATGCCCGTGGCACAGGCACTCTGATGCATGGCGAGTTACCCCGGGGGCAGTAGGGTAGGGTGGGACCAGCACTGGGCTCCTGGGGGCCTCCTAGGGTTGCAGCAGCAGCAATTCTGCTGTGCGAAGCCTGGCCAGCAGTCGCAGCACTGCTCCAGGTGGCCTGGTTTCACTTTTGAGCAGCGAGCACTGCCTATGAGTGCGCTGCTCTGCCTTTTTTCTCTGCGGGTTTTTTTGACCACTGGATATCAAAAAGCCCTGTGAACTGCTTCCCTGAAGCATGAAGAACAGCTGAATGCGTGGTATGTGGTGCTGCAGGTGGGTCTGCGGTGCCACATACTGCACAGCTGCACTTGTCTGGATGCGGCCAGGAGGTTCAATAAAGAGAAGTGCAAAGTCCTGCACTTAGGACAGAACAACGTCATATACTGATATAGTCTGGGGATCAACTGACTAAACAGTAGCTCTGTAGAAAAGGACCTGGGAGTTGCAGTGGGCAGTAAGCTGAGCCAACAGTGTGCCCTTGTTGCACAGAAGGCTAACAGCATATGGGGCTACATTATTAGGAGCATTGCAGCAGATCGAGGGAACTGATTCTTTCCCTCTATGCTGCACTGGTGAAGCCACATCCAGAGTAAGCCCCCTACCACAGAAACAATGTGGACAAATTGGAGACAGTCCAGAGCAAGGCAACAAAAATGGTTAGGGGGCTGGGGCAAATGACTCTTGAGGAAAGGCTGAGGGAACTGGGTTTATTTAATCTGGAGAAGAGAAGCCTGGGAGGAGGGATTTAATAGCAACTTTCAAGTACCTGAAGTGGGTGGGGATGTTCAAAGAGGACGGAGCTAGGCTGTTCTCAGTGGTGGCAGATGACAGAACAAGGAGCAATGGTCTCAAGTTGCAGCAAGGGAAGTTTAGATTAAATATTAGGAAAACTCTCTTATGAGGAAGGTAGTAAAGCACTGGAACAGGTTACCTAGAGAGGTTGTAGAACCTCCATTCTTGGAGGTTTTAAAGACCTGGCTAGACAAAGCCTTGGCTGGGATGATCAAAGTGGGGATGGTGCTGCTTTGAGCAGGGGGTTGGACTAGATGACCTCCTCAGGTCCCTCCCAACCCTCATTTTCTATGGAGCTATGACTGCACACAAATGGTAGCTTGACATCTTAGTGAAAGTTTGTTTTCTGATCTATAAAGAATCATTAAATTGGGGTCTCTTACTCCTTCAGCAGACACTTGCATCAAATGCAAAGTCCTCTAAATAACAATAGGATAGAAGGTTTGTAATAAGGTTTAGAAGAGACAGAATCAGGTTACTGAGATTTTTGTTGGTATGGAACTAATGAATTTTATTTCATCACAGAAAGTGTTAACACCAAGTCTTAATGTTTAGCTAGGCTTTAATACCTTTATCATTGTAGCAGGCACATTGAGTTGTGCTAAGGCTCTTAGCCATAGTCCAGGACTTCCCAGAACTACGCAATAAAATTGAACAGAGCACCTTCTGTGGCACCGGGAGATGTGAGTGCTGACTGGTGCACTAGGTGAGCAAGGCACAAGTTTCCTTATAAAGAATGTGCCCAGCATAGTGCCAGGGGAATTGGTGCACCATATAAGGAATGCTTGGCACAGTGCCAGGGGATAGGACAATGTGGTATGAAAAAGTTCTAAAAAATAGTTAACACAAGGGAAGGTGTGAGAGCACGCAGTAAACCTGAAAAAAAAGAAATAGACACAGCTGCTGCATCTCTGCTTAGCCTCTTGTAGCCTAAGATCAAGTGGGGGCAGCCGAATACCAAGACCTCTGGGCTTGGGCCTGCACGTAGGATGCCTGCCAATAGATTTGGGAGTACCTGAAGTCCCAAGGTGAAATCCTGGGATGGAGGATGCTCACCAGTTGTAGCACCATACATGGTGTTTAGAATGATTGAGCAGGCAGAACTCAATCAATAACGGTTTTGGAACAATTCAGTTCTGCTTAATTGATATGATTTGGAACTGATTTGGCCAATTTGACTTGGAACATGAAATATATTAATTAAAAAAATCTCTGCTGGACAACAGAGAAGCCATAGACATCACACCCAGTGGAAGATCCAAGGCACTGTACACCTGACAGTCGCTGCTGAGAGACCTACAGAGTCACTCATCAGGTTGTATTATAGGGAGGAAACCTGTAATATTATGTAAGTGTTACTGTTAAAGTTCACTTGATACGAAATCAGATGAGTTGCCATGTCACTCTTCAGAGCTCTGGCAAAAAAGAAATCTTACCGGTAACAATCATCAGTCATGCTTTCAAACATTGCACAATTCCACTCATGAGCTTTGGGGTGGGAGTGGCGGTGAGCAGACAATAGAAATTTCTCTTTATGAAAAAATACATACTTTTTGCAGATGCCAATACCTCTTTGGAAACTATGAAGCGTATGTATGTATGTATGGCAGAATGGGAGTTAGGTTCTCCCTTCTGCTCAGTCTACTGAGCAGTTGATGCAGTCCCTTTATAGGGCAATTATACCTTGTAGTTCTCTCTCAAGTCTCTGGACATTCTTGCAGTTCTTTTTAAGATGGCTGTGCACAATATTTTTAGTCACTACTGTTGTGATCTAGGCTTCAACTATCTGTACATGAACATACATTTATGAATAACCCTACAAGAGGCTGTTGAACTGACAGGGAGATTTAGGCTGACCCTGTTCCACCTTAACCCAGTCTGGATCACTGCTTGGCTTTGTAAGCAAAACCTGATAGTGTGTGCTCAGCCTTCTTTCTGTATACCCAGGCTAGTTCCTACTTTGGTTCATCAATGTCCTTGGATCCTAACACTGTTAGTGTTCCTCATAGGCCTCTACTGTTATCAGTCCTAGCTGCTTCACTATTTCCTTGGTCTAGAATACAAAGTTGACCCACTCTGGAAGCCTTCTTTTTACTAGGACCTGTCCAGGAAACAAGTCTACAGATCCAAGGGACTCCTAACTTTCTGGATTCCCAGCTCAGATTGATACTCACTTCCTGGCCTGTAGCCCTTCTGGTCTCTGGAATGGGGTCAGCTAGAACTGGGCAGTCACTAGTCCTGATCAGTCTTTCTTGTTCAGCTGCTCTAAGTTGTCTTTACTTGCCTTTATCCTGTGCAATGTTTACAAGCCTCATCACATTATGCTTCTAGTGTAGATGGTCCTGATTTTGTGTTACACTTTTTGCATTACGTTTTGTGGAGGCAAATAACGGATCTTGTTTCGCCCTGTTTTTTCTTCCATTTTGTCTAGTTGTAAAGTAAATGACAGACAGACAGGACAGACAGGACAGACTTTTTCACTGTGGTTTTACTACTAAAAACACAAGGTATATAAGCATCAGTTATTGGGAACTTTTCAAGTACCTTCAGAACTATCTGTAACATAAAAAAACATTTGTTAAAATGAAGTTTACTTTGATTTACATTTGTTAAACATCTGACTTCAAAAACAGCATACAGACAAGCTGAAGAACAAACAATTCTTCTAAGTTAGAAGATTCACATATAAAACACTAACCTTTTGAAGAATGCAAGTCACACCTCTGGAAAGGCACTTTTAGCCCAGACCAAATATGCTCCATTTTCTGTTTGCTTCTTGATACAAGTCATTGTTCAGCTCAGTCTGGATTACTACGCTTTTGCTAAGTACCTGAAAATGCTGAAAATGAGGATAAAACTAAGCAGCAGGGGGTGCAACAGTCAAGCTTATTTGAAGAACATCAGATTTGCAGCTATTTGCTTCCAAGTCTTCAGACCTACTTTGAGCTAAAGCTAGAGCTAAGCACTGGCATTTGGACCAGCTGTTTAGCGGCTTAGCCACAATGTAGTTTGCCATATTAGTTTGTAGAGAAAAGATAATCCTAGAATTCATCAAGAGTCTGCTAAAGACAAGGATGGGATGTCACAAAAGGCTTTTACAATACCTGAATGTTCCTTCTTAGCTTCCACATCTACATGAAGAAGTCTTCTTTAGACACGTGCTATTAATGTATATAACCAGCTGTGCTCTACTCCTGTGCAAAATCTATTGGGGTTGATCAGCTTAGTTCAGGGGTGGCCAACCTGTGGCACTCATGCCACAAGTGGCATTGGAAGCCTACATGTGGCAGACTAGGGAGGGGATGGGCAGCATAGAGGCAAATGGGGCAGGAAACAAGCAGCAGAGCAGCAGATTGGGTAGGAAGTACAGGACAGGGAGCCGAAGGCAAAGCAGCACACCTGCCCAACCAGGTGTCTCCCACTGGTTTAGTTCTCTTTTACTCCTCTTGAATATGGAATAAGCCAAGCTTCTCTAAAGTTTACCATTTTTGACCTGGGGGTCTCCAGATGTCTGTATGTGTCTAGTCATTAACACCCACAATGAGAAATTTTTAAGTTGACCATATATTATGTGCAGCCTGAAGTTTCATCTGATCTGCCTCTATCTAGGGCATGAGCTTGCCACACTAGCCTGTAAGGAAGGGGTTGTCAATTGGGGGTACACCTACTCCCAGGGGTACTTGAGGAAGACCCTAGGGGGTATGTGTAGGTAGGTGGGGACAGAGCGCTGCTACACACTATCCCGCACTGCCACGCAGGCGCCACCTGCTCAACCAGATGCAGGGGGTGGGGGAAAACACACACGTGGTGGCTGCCACCGCTCCATGTCCAGCCATGCCCTCCCTCCCCGCCACTCCACATTTGGCCGCTGCGGGTACACTGATTGAAAAAGGTTCAAAACCCCTGCTGTAAGGGCTTGTATTTAACTGCTGTCTCTTCTCTTGGAACTAGTACTGAAATAATCAAATGGGCTAGAGAATGAATGGAGTTTCTATTTATAGCAAAAGAGAAGGAATATAATAGGCGTATGGAAGCCAGCTTAGTCTGAGGGTCAAAGAGACACCAATAATGCAACAGAACAACCTGGCAGAAACTTGTGGGGAAGACTAGCACTCAAAAACAAAGGGGTGCCCACAGAAGAGTGATGCTCAGACTATGTCTGAGCCACACGTGGCTCAAGTTTGCATCTGTGGCACGGAAAGAACATTATCAAAATGTATCTTACTACATTACTTTTGGGTACATGTTTCCTGCTATCAGTAAGCACTAGCAAGGTTTATCACTTTTAACATTAACTTACTGGAGCCTTTTCTTTGAACTGGAATATGCTTGCTGCGATGTATTTAGGGATGTACACGTTGCATGGGCTCCTTCAGTGAATGTCGAATGCTCACTGGTGAGATAGTCAGGATTAACTGTCACTGCTATAAGTAATTGTACAAATTAGCTACATGCATTATCATCAAATATCAGCTAAACACCAGTTCATCAGGCGTGCAACAGTGCACATGCAAAATATTTTCCAAAGTTTGTCAAAAAACTCAACAACTCCATAAACTTACACTAGCTAGCCTAAACAGTATCCTTGCTGTTAAACCAATATTCTCCACTTCTTAATCTAATAACCAGGCCCCATTGCCCAAAAGAGCAATTTATTCTTCCAATTTACAGGACATGGCTGCCAAATGTTTAGTATACCCATGATGCATTTCAATGTATTTGTGTACTTGCACATTGTCTCTACAGTGGTGAACCCAAGATGACCAAAAGTCACCCTTAACCAATCTGTATCTTTCCCGCACATAAATTGATGCAGACCGACATGAACTCTTAAAAATCTAGCCCTTGTCCAATTCACAATTTCCAGCTGCCAAAGATGAAAGTGAAATGCAATTTGAACAAAAACTTGAACTAATCAGTGCTTCCCAAACTTTTCCTCAGCATGACCCCTCCCTCCCAACCTGCAGCCCCCCCCCTCCCAGGTGCCCCTCCCTCCCCATCCACAGCCCCACTAGCCCTGTCAGTACCAGCCACCCTCCCAGCCCTACTGGTGCCCTGCATTCAAAATCTGCAGCCCGGCCCCCTCTCCTGTTTCTAGCCCTGCCCCTGTCACAACCCAAAGTTGTGGTTTTTTTGTTTGTGTGCGCTTCAGCACCACTAAATTGCGTTCCCGCTAAATTGCAGCTCTTTTGCACAGTGGAGTGTTCTGCTGTAATAGAGAACCCGCGTGCAGGAGAAGTATTTCCCGCCAGTTTTGTAGCCTTCTTTGCACGGTGCATTTCTTTTGCATTATAGTGATGTACGATGCAAAGGAGATCCCGCCATTTGTATTAAGATTTCTGCCACATTATTGGTCAATCTTAATATAGGCACACGTGGCGGCTAGCTATTGGCTTGCTAGCCGTACAAAAGGCTTGGATAGTTTCCACC